ATTATTATTATTATTATTATTATTATTATTATTGCTATTTGTACAGTCAACCAGTTATTTAGCCTGAATTTGGCATTTTATCCACTTATCGAGTGCCCCTCCCCAGGAACTGGGATAGGCAATGCTGTTGCTTGATGGTGTTAAAAGCATTGCTGCAGGTGTCGCAGGATATAAGTTATTCTGAGTAAAGCTGCCTTTTATAACTGATTGATGGTGATTTTGTCAATGCCAATAGTGTTCAAATGGTCTCCAGATGTTTTGGGATTGTACCCAGGGCACCTATTTTTATAGGCACAACCTTTGCTTTCCTTTGCCACAGTTGTTCTACTTTTATTTTTAGTTCTTTATTTTCTCCAGTTCTCTCTCTTCTATTCTGCTTCAGGTTCATCATCCAGACTTTTTTTTTGTCTTTCTTGTTGACAGTTGTTAAGATTGTCTGCATGAATTCTAAATCCCAGAGCACTTTAGCTTTTTCATTTTCAATTACTAGGTCTATTTTATAGTCCAATCAGTTCTTGCTTGCAGGCAAATGGTATTTCTTGCAGATATTCCAGTGCACCATTGTTCCTATTTTTTAGTCAGTCTGTGCAAGCTTCAATTATTATTATTATATAACACCTTTTTAAAAATATGATTCAAGGCAGTGATCATATCTAATAGTCTTGTACACTACACTAAAAGTAGATTAAATATTCCTATAATTCTGTAGAAAATTCATTCTTTTATAGGGTTACCCCAAAAGTGAAAAATATAGTGCTATTATAATAAAATCTAATTGTCAGTATTATGTCATTTTCTCTTTCATTAAAGAAATCCTACCATGCTTTATTTAACACAATCAAGAGACCCTACAGGCAGTCCTCGAATTATGGCCACAATTGAGACCAAAATTGTTGTTGTTAAGTGAGAATTTATTAAGCAAACTTTGCCCCATTTCACTACAATCCTTGCCATAGTTGTTAAGTGAATCATGGAATTTTATAACTTAGTAACCTGGTTGTTAAGTGAATATGGCTTCCCCATTGATTTTGCTTGTCAGAAGGTTGCAAAACGGGACCACAGGATCCCGGGATGTTGCAACTGTAAATATGAATTTTGATCACATGACCATGGAGAATGCCATAATGGTTGTAATTGTGAAAAACGGGTCATAAGTCACTTTTCTCAGTGCCGCTGTAACTTTGAACAGTCACTAAATAAACTGTTGTAAGTCGAGGACTACCTGTAGTTTTTTCTCTTAACAAGGATTGCAGAGTAGGTACATTCTTATTAGCTGCAATGAATAATTTACACCACACACCTCTGACGCAGTAACACTTCATTCATAAAATAGGAAGGTTGTATTTTTCTCCTTTCCTAATATAGGGCACTTCACTCATTCCTCATTGGATTGCAACTCCCGTAATTTCAGCCCCTAGAGATCCTGCAAACATCCTGACCATTGCTAACTTAGTTGGAAGCCAAGGGGAATTATGGAAAAGACCGAAACATTTTTTGCTACTATCCGGATTTTTGCAGCCCGGATGGGGTAGCTCTTTGCAAAATGGGAATAACGGGGAGGGAGTAGCCCCGCATCAAATCTGGGAGGTCTACATAGGATTTCCCTACTCACCTGACTCCTCATCCTTCTTGTCAAATTTCTTTAGCATCCTGTCCGTGGAGGCGCAGAACCGGGTAAAGAAGAAGGATCGGGAGAAGGTACCAGATGATTAACCTCACCCCACCCCAGGGGAAAGGGAAGGGAAGAAGGAAGACGCCGCGACAGACAGAACAGAAAGGATGGGAAACGACAGCGCCAGGTAGACAGTCCGCATCTGCGTGGAAATCTCCACTTCCTGCACAGGGGCCACTTCCTGCCAGCAAGACAAAGTTGAGAGACAGCTCAGCATCTCAGCGACGCGCAGCCGCACTCGTCAGCGGGCTGGCTGCGGAGAGCTCTCATTGTAGCCGGCAGGAGAAAGGCGAAACGACGGGAAACAGGCCGGACGGTGACGTCACGGGCCTTGCAAGCCAATGATCGCGAGCAACCGCTTCAGGCCGGAAAGGAAGACTGGCAGCCAATCTCGGGCAAGGCGACAAAGGACGGAAGTGGAGAGGGCGGGGAAACGTGGGTGCATTGGAAGCAAGCGGGGAAATAAGCGCGTCCCGTTTATAACTGTTTTAGATTACGTTGGCGTTGCTTTTTTTTCTGGCGTAGAAGAGATGGAGGTTTCTTTCCAGATAATCTCCGTTTCCTTTGGAAAACCTCGATCTTTTTTTTTTTTTCGTTTTCCCCCGCCCCGCCCCGCCCCCGGTTGTTTGGAGCTGTCAATACTTTTCTGTATGCTCATTGGAATTATTTTCCAGGAAAAAAAAACACCTGGAGTTCTGACCCAAACTGGCCTCCCCCCCCCCACTTTTTCTATTGCTACCTATTTTTGTTTTCCTGAAAAAATTTCATTGTTTGCACAATAAACAAATTCAGTAAAAAGATTCCAATCGTTTTACATTTCCATTACCTGGCAGGAGATGGGGAAATGGATGGAGAAATTTTCACATACTGGTAGAAAGGTAATACTTGTTGGCATAGACAGTTGTGATGAAAGAGTACTTGTTGAAATGAAAGTAACTATTTAAGATGCGTGCTGCTCATTTTGTTTAATGAAATCAAAATCTGGGTATGTCAGGACAAACAAAAGTACTGATAAGATGAATGCAAGGCATCAGGTATATCAGAAACATGCATAATGAAAGAAGGAGAGGATCAAAAATAAATTGGTATTGAGTTAATGTGAATCGAATATACAAGTGTGACTGATATAAAAGAAATATGCTCTGGTGATTTGAGCATACAAAGATAATAGGTATTTATTCATGAAACAAATATACAAAGAATGAATAGATTGAGAAGAAAAGGAAGGCCCAAAAACTTGTGATGATGGAATTGACAGAACCTCAAAAAGAGAGACATAAGAAATGTAAAGAATAAAAGAGAATTTGTGAAATAGTATATGGATATGATAGAAACAAGCATGGTTTACAAAGATAGAAAACAATAGAGTAAAATATTGAATGGTGGTGTTAACTAAAATAAAATGTTTTTTAGCTCACATTTTTTTCTGGTCTTTTTTATGCATATTGTTGCTGACCCTAAAGGGAATAGTGTGAAGGCTATGTTTGTTTCATATAAAGTATTATGATTTGCTTGGAAGTATCTGGGCTCACAAATTTGTAGGACTGCTATACAGGTGTCACCAGAAAGAAGATAAAAAGCAACACAGATTTCTGTAGAAAATCATTAGGCTTATGCAATGAAACAAACAAAGTGTTAAAAAGTTATATTTATGTAGTTACTTACCAAGTTACTTACTCTGTGGACACGCGAGCCATTGCCCCAGTTCAGCTCCGCTGCAAATGCGCACGTGCCTCCTGCTAGCCAACTGCTGCGCATGACCAGGGTGGGGTGCATGCGGGAGACTCTCACACGTGTGGGGGGCATGTGCGCATTGCATTTTGGGGGGTTGGGTGCATGTGCACGCAATTGCAGCGCACACTTTGGGCATTCAGTCTGGAAAAGGTTAGCCATCACTGATCTAGGATATGGCAATTAAGGGACCTGATTTTGCACAATCTAACGAGTTACTGATCCATTGCTAATGGACACTTTTGAAACCTGCTTGCTATCCTGGTGATTTGAACCAGTTTGGCCTGAAGGTAGAATTCCTCTGAAAGCTGTTTAAAGCCAGGCCCAGGTACACAAATAAAACACTTTACATACCATTCAAAACAGACAGTAAAAATGCTAAGAATACAAAAGGTCACAACACATCCAGCAGCCTATATACCCATTTAAACAAAGATTAATGCCAGACAACCATCAAGTGGAAAACAACTTAAGGAAACTACAAGAAGAAAACCACCACCACCACCACCCCCCATCACTGGCTGGACAAGCTACTGTATATAAATTGAGAAAGTCCACACTCGCTCGCACTGATTAGTTTACTCAGGCAATGAAATTTTTACAAGCAAACTACCAAGCTCAAGGAGCACCAAAACCTCCACAATACTAACCTGAGCTATTCTCTTCTATTGGAGTTCTATTCTCAATTAAATTCTGTGTATTTTCTGTTTTGCTAGAGAGCATTAGTAACTTTTTTGCCTGGAATCCTAACTCACCTGTCTTCCAAACCTACTTTCTTCAACCCAGGACCTCCACAAGAGTGGACTTCAACCCCCAAAATTTCCAATTATCATTATCCCTTGGTTAGAACTCTGGGAGTTGAAATCCATATATCTGTAGGACTTTAGGGAATTGAGGAAGGCTGTCCTAAGCTTTTTGCCAACTACACAGCTTTTTAAGTAATGAAATATTGATGAGGGATGTTATTTGGTATTCAGCTGTTTTGATACATAGGAAGAGCAAACTTTAATGCACATATGAAACAAATCTAGAGTTTTGTTTTCAATTTCAAATTTAATTAGTACAAAAAAACAAATTTATTGAGATACGTACTGATAGGCATTGCTGGTGCTTGCCTGTGTGATTTTTTGAGTCATTGTTGATGCCTAGTCACTACCTGGTGTAGTCCTTGTAGTTTTCTTAGAAAGATTTTGGACATAGTTTGCCATTGCCTGCTTCTAGAATGACTTGCCAAAAGTCACTTAACTGACTTTGCTTAAGGTGGGACTATAACTCAGTCTCCTGATTTCTAGCCTGTTGCCTTAATCACTACACCATCATGTCCAATCTTTTGTCTTGGCTGGGCTGCCTTGAGTGAAAAGGAATATTCTAATGTGTAATATAGTAACTATTGGCAAAGATCACATAATAATGTTAAAGTGTACAATCTTGGGCCACATTACCCATCCAGGGCTGCATGTGGCCATGGACCACAGATCATACACGCCTGCATTCTCTCAAGCCTTCTTATATTTAGCATATTCATTAAGACGTCTTGTTTCTTGTGTTAAGCTTAAGCTCAAACTAAAAGAATTGCTGCCATCTCTGATCAGACAAAAAGGTATTGTCAGCTGAAGGAATTAAAAGATGCACTCCATATTTTTTTCTAAACATCTCAGTACAACTGCTGAAAACATATGCTTAGCCTGCTGTGAAAATGCTCATCTAGCCAGCATGGCAATTGCTTGTATCATACAAAACTATTTCAGCATTTGCCTTCTGAATAATTATGATGCATTCACTAATCGATAGGTTCAACATTTATTACTTTGTTGCTGTTTTATTATTAGCATTAAATGAGATGGTAATGATAATTCTTTCTGGCTGCCAGTTGTTCTTGTGGAAAGTGAAGAAACTGATCGGCAACCCTTGCAAGTACTTCCTCCACCACTGATGTTTGAATAAGAGGAATATACCCCGAGAGAAAGACACCTACCGTAGCTCAAGTTGTCCTCAAAGAACATGGTCAACCCTGTGAGGAATCTGAGTGGAGAACCTTTTCTTACTGTGTCCTTTAAGCACACAATGTAAATGCTCTCTGTACTTTGCACCAAACTGCCAGCCACTGTTATCTCAAAGTACTTAAAACATTGGAATCAGGGGTCAGTAAAAGGAGGTGACAATTCTTACTTTGCAAGAGCATACATGATATTATTTCCACAGCAGAGTATCTTAGCGAGCCTGATCAGTTGCTCAAGGGAAAAAATGAAATCCAATTCCCATTACAATGCAATTGGATTGATGACACTTTTAAAGTTGCTTTTCTGATATGGTCTCTTTTCACCTGAAATTCCTGAATCTAATCAGCAAGGCTGATTCCGTACCCAACAGGAGGTAGTGAATCAAATTTGGTTATATACTGCAGTCTTCCCCAGTCTGACAACTTGAGGGCTAAAACTATCATTTTTAATATTGCACAGCCCTTTTGTACTGGTTATCTTTTGTACTCTGGTACTTTCAAAAAAAACCTTAAAATTAAAAATAAAAATAAAAGAACAAGGGACAACTGTACAGGTCACCTAAAGTTTCAAATGTAATGAATGTAGAAATATGTCCATTTTATCACTATCAAACTCCAGCTATTGCACTGCTATGTTAGTTGAACTGTCCCCTAAGTATTCCATTAAAGTGTACTCACTTTCAGTATTCAGAAATATGGATGGGACCACAGGAAAAAGCTTTCTTCAGACCAAAGGCTACAGACCAAATGCTGAAGTCTGATGTGTGGGCTGAGAGGTAGGGGAAAATATCTGTGATGGGCCTAACAAATCAGTAAACACACTTGATTCAATGAGGTACTGTATACTTTTATTTGATTAGCACATTCAGATTTTTGCACCATAATATCATCAATAGAGGAATCTTACATAGAACCGAAAACAATTCTGCAGTGATATGTACATTCAAAATTTTGAAAATACAACAGTGATAAATAGCGATAGCACCATATATACGTACACCAAGGTAGCTCTCTTTGGCCAACATTTTTTGCTTTCTTAAGCATATTGGTGAGAAGAAAGTAGACATGATGCATGTTAGTTTATTATACTTTACTTGGACATTATCCACATTTGGGGTAGAATTGCTGCACTTTAATAATGTGAAAGAGTAGATAATTGATGTTTAATCTTTAAGGCACCACAGGTGAGAAACCAGTTTTGCAAGAGGCTAAATGAATTACCCTTCTGATACAGTTCTGATGACATTCAGGATGACAGATAAGGTTCTACAGAACATTTCTGAAACATTTCTGAGCTTTCTATGCAGAAATCCGTAGAAACACTCTTTGCCATCTCGAGGTAAAATCCACACATTCATGCCTTTCCAAAGAACGAAGAGTGAATCTAGATCCGTGATGGTGAATCTCTGGCATGCAGCGCCCTCTCTGATGGCACACGAACCATTGCCCCAGTTCAGCTCCACCGTGGATACGTGCACACACCCCAACAGCCATTTGGCCTTTGGAACTCTGTTGCACATGTGGGGGGGAGAGCGCATGCAAAAGGGCATGTGCACATATGCAGGGATGGGTGCATGTGGGAACCATGCGTGCATACACAGCAGGTGGGGTACATGGAGGCGCATTGCATTTTGGGGGTTCGCACGTTTTGGGCACTTGGTTAGAAAAAGGTTAGCCATCACTGCTCTAGGTTAAGGATGACAAGGCATTGTCCCAGAGGCATCAAATTTTAGGAGACACCAAAATTGAAAAGACTTCTAAAGAAACAAAATAAAAAAGTTTAAAAGTGGTAACCGCTCACATTGTGAGTCACCGTGTTTGCTTGAGGATTAAATATAGTTCTGCAGTAAATAAGATGACAATGCCAATTTAATCCTCAAGCAAAAAATTGTCTGGGGCTTGAAAATCTAACCAGATGATGATCCAGACCATAGGGGGCGCCAGAGTAGAATTTTACCTAAGGCACTAAGATGTCTAGAAGTAGCCTTGAAAAGGGGGAAAAGAAGCAATAGACTAAGGGTAGTCCTCAACTTACAACAGTTTGTTTAGTTATAGTTCAAAGTTACAATGACACTGGAAAAAGTGACATGACTATTTTTCAGTTACGACCATTGCAGCATCCCCATGGTCACGTGATCAACATTCAGACGCTTGACAACTGTCTCTTGTTTATGACGGTCCCAGTGTCCTGGGATCATGTGATCCCCTTTTGCAACCTTCTGTCAAACAAGTCATTAGGGAAGTCAGACTCACTTAACAACCATGATACTAACTTAACGACCACACTGATTCACTTCACAACCGTGGCAAGAGAGGTCATAAAATGGGGCAAAATTCACTTAACAGATATCTCACTTAACAGAAATTTTGGTTTCAATTGTGGTCGTAAGTCAAGGACTACCTATAGCTAGTGGTCATTCAAGGTATGTTCAATTGTAAGAAAAAAATGGAAAACAATTATGCTTTTTAATAATTACCTAGTGCAGCCATATATAGAATAGCTGTGGTTGTCCTAGAGCTCCAAGTATTTCAAAAGACATGGAACATAATATTCTCCAAGCATATGGCATACTTTGTCAATAGATGTGATGATCTACCTTAGCTTCAATTAATTTAGTAAAATATTAGGCACATTCACAGGATGAAGCAATTCTTAGTCATATAGTTGAACTTCTACTGCTCCTGGTAATGGACAATTATTTTTTCTCAATATTCAAATTTAATTTTTCAGTTATTCTTCACAATACAAAATATATGAATCTTTGCAACTTTGAATTTTGCCAGCCTTGCCACCATTTTAATCCATGGAGTTTGGACACAAAGCAATTCAGAATTAAATCCAACCAGCTGACATTATTTTGTTCAAGAGTTGAAAATTTAAAGTATTCGAGTACTCTAAAGGCTTGAAAACTGATGGCAGGAAAAGAAAATGCTTTGGGGAAAGATATTCCATTCTGTGACAATTTTATTTTTGACATCTCAGGCTCAGAAAAAGTCAGGCATTCCCCAAACTTTATTTATTAACAATAAAAATCATAAGTTATGAAAAAAAGTTTAGGGGAGTGCTCCTTAATAATTTCTTCTCATAATGAAATCAATTTATGGAACGAACTCTAGCAATGCTTGTGAATCAAAAGTCTTTTGTATATTTATGACTGGAAAGACATTTTAGCCTCTCAGGATTAGCCTGGCTGATACTGTCCAGTGGGCTTCTTGTTAATCTACTCCTAGAGAATAATATATAGATTCATAAACCTGCAAGTTGCAGGCAGAATCAGAATTTGGTCAGGCCACAATACATTCCACGTGTCATTAGTTAACCAGTATCAAATAAGTTAAAGAACTCTAATTTAAAAATATGTCTTTTCTTTACATTATACATAATAGATGGTAGGCATATATTTCCCATTTGATTAAACAAAGCACCTTAATTTAAAAAATAATAATAAATCAAGAGCAACAAAACTACTGTTAAAAAAAATAGAATAGCACCATTTCTCTGCTCCAGCTGAAGCAGCCCACACACAAACGATCTACGCGTACACACATACACAGTCCTATGGACATATGTAACCACAAGGAACTGTGTTGCAGGCAGTACAAATGGCAGCAAGGAGATTCTCAAGTCACAGGTCACTTGCCAGGTGTATAACTAATGCATGATAAGAATGGCAGGGAGTCCAAACGGCTGCAACTCTTCTTTTCTTTAGACAGTACATCGGTTCTCCAAACTCACTTCAGCACTTATACCGTTTTGTTTCTATCCACTGTGCTATTAACTGCCAAAAGAGAGATAGATAGATAGAGAGATGGTGAAACATCATGGAAAACCACAATATTTAGAACTATTAAAGGTGTGAAGAGTAGGCACTTCATGGGATGCTTTGTCAGCTCTTACCTATATCTGCCTGGGGCTTACAGTAAAGCTCACAGTCCTCTTTGGAGCTGAAGCGGTTGGAATTTCCTCCACAACCACTGTAGATAAAAGGCCGACATTCCAATACTCTCTGGTTATAGTACCATTTTAGGGTGAATCTGCTGCATGTGCCTTCTTCCAGATGCAAGGTGCACAGGTCAGCTGGGGAAAAAAATAACAGTGAGGATGCAACAAGCCAAGGGATTAGCTTATCTAAGATGCAACAGTGCTACTTTAGGCATTACGCGTAGCTGCAATTCAACAGAAATGTGGCCATTTTCACTAATGCTCTAGATCGAAGGTGTCAAACTCATGAACCACAGCCTGGATGCAGCCCACATGGTGTTTAGATCTGGCCCGTTGGGCCACCCTGGAAACAGTAAAGGCCCGGCCTGTGGTGCCTCTGACAGTGAAAACAGGCTTTTGAGCTCCGTTTTTGGTTGCAACGGCCTCCTGCAACCCTCTGCCAGTGAAAACAGATCTCAGGAAGGCTGCATTTTCGCTGGCAGAGCACAGGTGCCGACACGAGTGTCATTGAGATGGCTATGCTCACCCGGGCCTCCCGAGGTCAAACACAACCCTGATGTGGCCCTCAATGAAATTGAGTTTGACATCCTTGCTCTAGATATAGTTTTACTGATATTACAAGAATAGGCTGGAAAGAACATAGAGTGCTGGTAGTTACACCCAGTTACACTTTGTGTATGTCCATTCAGCTATGTCAACCTAAAGACCAATGCTAAGCAGTAGAAGCCTAAAGTTAATAAACTTTCGACATCCCAGTTTAGAGCAGTCTTTACATATTATCTACATTTTCCTTCTCAAGAAAGAAACTATACAGTTTAATCAATTTACTGGTAATGGGGATTGCTTCTAATGGCACTGGTACAGAATTAAAGTTCCTAGTAAGTAGACCACACCATCAGCTTCTTATTATTTTTTTGAAAAAAAAAATCCAAGATTGCCAGCTAGTGTATAAAGGACTTGGGTTAAGCAATAGGCCTTCTCTTAATTGGCTCCAGGCTTTCCCCAGAAATAAGCAAGGGCCCCTTCCCACTTGCATACAGTATTATAACACTGGTTTACATTTTTTTAAAAAAAAGAAATATTCTTCTTATTTTGTTTTTCTGCTTTCGTTGAAATCCAATCCGAGTTTTGCAATTGAGATAATCTAGCAATATTGTAAAATAACTTCATACATATGTAAAAGGAATAGCTTATAACAAAATTATCCTTTCTGTAAAAACCCTAATTCAGCATCACTTCCACAAGTTTCCAAAGGATTCCAACCTTTCACCATCTACAGGCATGTGCCGATCCTTCAAACACACATCAGAGACTGATGTAACTCACCATCCCTCAACATAGGACTCTCAGTCCCATCTGCTACCAGGCCCTCTTCATAGTCTTCCTCTGCGTAGATATACTCATACTCAGGCCTACTTGCTTTCAATATGTTTCGTTCCTGGCTCCCTACAAAACAGAGAAGGCTCATTCAAAAAATCTCAGGTAAGGAAGACTTGATGAGAAAGAAGGAACAACAAATATATTGAGTCCGTGAGGTAGGGTACACTTAGAACTGTATTCCTAGAAAAGACAATTGATTGATTTATGAAAATATTAAATTTCTAAGCCGCCCAATTCCAAAATGAGTTTACAGATTAAAACACAAAAGGGCATAAAGAAAACATATTGTTCATATCATTTCTTTAGTAATGAGTAATTTAGTAATGCAACAGATAAAATATAACTAATATGTCAAAAACAATAATATAAAATCAAAAAGAAACATAAAAATTCAGAAAAAATAGACATCAAGCCAATTGAAATTTTCAGTATTGCCCAGTCCACTGTATTATGAGCTTCTGAGTGATTTTCAAAGGCACTTCCAGATGACACTAGGGCACTATAAATTATAAATGTCAATTAGCTTGATGGCTATTTTTTACTGCATTTTTATGTTACTGTATTTGACATATTATTTGTTATATTTTATCTGCTGCATTACTGAATTACTCATTACTAAAGAAATGAATTAAGCAATATTATGTTACTGCTACTTATTCTTATTTCCCCTGGCTTTTATTTATAGAATAGTATATGCAATCCCTCTTCCTTTTCATAAGCTATTATAGCAATAGCACTTAGACTTATACAATGCTTCATAGTGCTTTATAGCACTCTTTAAACAGTTTACAGAGTCAGCATTGTGTCCCCAACAATCCAGGTCCTCATTTTGTTCCAAGTAAAACAAAGCTAATCATATCCTTCCTCTTGTTTCCAAGAGAAGAATAGATTGTCAATCTGATAATGCCTGGCTTGCAAAGCATACCCTACTTTGGAATTCCAAAGTGGACTGAAAGGAAAAGTGAAAATACGTAATTCTTGCAAGGAAAGTGTGACAGAAAACATTTTATGCATAATAACATCAAGAAGCCTACAATGTGTGCAAGAAAAAAAGGAAAAAATACTAAGAAACAAGACGCACCTTCCTCTTCCTCAGCATGGGACAGTTTAAGCACAGGGATTATTTGAGCTTTAACAGATGGGTATGGGTGGGTGGATGGATCATTGGGGAGATTACCTGGGGAAGAAGAAGTCACAATGCAAACCTAAGTAGGCACATAACTACCATAAAAATAATTGGCACATATTTGACCTCCCCACCTCAAGAGAAGAAGCTTCCAGCTTCCAGATTCAAGAACCTTCAGAAAACATATCGCGTTTTGAACTTTTCTATAAAAGTTAGTGAGTAATAATTATGTACATAGAGAGGAGAGAGTTCTCAAATAAAGCCAATGTAATCTATATATATAAAAACGGCTCTGTGTGTGTATGTTCTAGCATAACTCTGGAATGCCTCAAGCAATTTCAACCAAACCAAACAGATGACTTACTCTCTGGAAACCAATACTGTGGGAGTAAGACACCCCTAAAACCCCTCGGGGTTTGTGTTCTGTTAAGATACAGCCTGTTGTGTCTTAAAATGGCTTCTTCTGTACTGTCGTAAAATGAATTCTACTGTGCAGCGCAGTGCAGCACAATGGATTTGCCATGATAATGGATTCACAGTACTCCACAAGTAGTCTCCCTCTGGTAAGGGGGAAAATCCAACATTAGAAATTACGTTTGGTCCAGACATTTTCCCCCAATAAATAAATACCCGGGCTAGTCAGTAATACAAAAAATATATCCTAGATATTAGAACAGTCTTTATGGATTAATTTTAAGCTACCTGTCTTTGAATGGAAAAATTTTGGATGCAGGCAAATTTGAGTGGCTAAAAACACTACACTAATGCACAATGTAGGCCTCTTGGTTAGTACAATTGGAATGTTTTAAAGTTAGTGAAACAAATAAGCACAACACACTTATTCTCCAAGGTTTGCATCTGTTGTCATTACGGATTGAAAGAATACTGATTTCATGCATAATCATAGGTGCTAAATATTTGTGAACTGTTCACATCTTCCTATAAAGTAGATAGGCTCCCTCTGCTTTCTAAGCCATTCATGCTGTTAGAGATCTGAACATTTACAGAGTTTTTTTTTCTTCTGCTTCCTGCATGCATTTCTCATGCACCGTTCATTTCCTTCCATCCATCCATCCTTCCTTCCTTCCATCCTTCCTTCCTTCCTTCCTTCCTTCCTTCCTTCCTTCCTTCCTTCCTTTCTTTCCTTCCACTTTCTTCCTTCCTTCCTT